AACAGAATGCTGGGAGGAAGAGGAAGTGAACTCAGACTTGACAGCTCTGTTCTTTGGAGCAGAGACGCCATGCTCAGCTCTCCCGGGTAGACGTGATAGCTCTGCTCTCTGAGGCACTCGCGATGAAGCTCCAACCCAGGATGGATGTAGGCTAGAATCTTCCCGGTAAGTGCACCTAGCAGTGCTAAATACCTTATTGGAAATGGGTTAGTCCAGGTGCGAGAGTTAGCCGAGAATAGGCTAGATATAATGGGCCAAGCAGTGTTTAAATGAATACAGTTTGTGTGTTGTTATTTCAGGGCATAAGCTAGCAGGCGGCGGGGTGCTGGGGACGCAGCCCCGCCGCTCATATTACAACACATGCATGGTTCAAAGTTGGTTGAGACCACCAATGTTTTGTTTCCTCCAGCAGTCGACATAACAATACCATCATGAAATCACAGTAGCTGTTTACCTTCCACCACAGACGGGGGAAAGATTGGGAGGCCCCACCCCTACTTGAAGACCCAGTATCAATCAATAGACAGAGGAGAGATATTTGTTCAGCAACATATGTATTCACAAGGTTTATTGCCCATGCAAATAATCCTCCACTCATATTTATTCATCTGGCACTAATTAATCTTGAAACAAACTTCAAGAACACTGTATGAAACATCAATAAAATTTTGTACCTGTTTAAAATATGCAAAAATCAAATAGACAAAAATAAATTTAAAATATGTCAAGGAATCTTTTTCACTTCTAGAAATCAATTAGTGTACTATTGTACACTAGATGTGTAGACTATATCCAAGAAATAGCCAATATCATAACTCCATTTGAGAAGGGCGACTGTTTCAAGCTAAAATGAATCTTAAAGAATATGTGACATAGATCTCTCCAAGTTTCCTTTGTCAGTGGAGAACCATAATATCAAGAAAACTACACCAAAAAAAAAAAAAAGAGCCAGGCGATGGCAGAGCACACCTTTAATCCCAGCACTCGGGAGGCAGAGGCAGGCGGATCTCTGTGAGTTCAAGACCAGCCTGGTCTACAGAGCTAGTTCCAGGACAGGCTCCAAAGCCACAGAGAAACCCTGTCTCAAAATAAATAAATAAATAAATAAATAAATAAATAAATAAATAAATAAATAAATAAATAAAATAAAAAAATAAACTACAGTAGAAAGTGCCAGGATACACATAACAATTAAGAACAGCTAGCTAGATATACAGATGGCTGCATTTCTGACATCTGTCTCAGAAATGAGGCCAGACAGAGCCGTCAAATAAGTAGAATAGAGGCTAAGCTGAAAAGACATATGAATACAAAATGCTGTCCCATGGCTCAATGAGTTTATTAAATGGAGGGACAATATCACAGAAATAAGAAAAAATCTGTCTGATACTTCTCTAAGCATGACTCCTTGCTTTTTCTCTATATTATCACTAATGGTTCTTTTGAATAGCTATCAACCTGGTGTCTAGTTTACAATCTGCTATGATAACTTCAACAGTCACCTAGTATAGAATGTATACAAGGAAAAGCCTTTACACTGCTGCGCATGGATGAGAAAACCTGATTGACAGAGACTAAGAAGGTGACTAATGAGCAGAGCAGAGGTGGACAATCCAGAGCTGGTGCAAGTATTCAAGATGGCAACAGAGATGAATTTACAAAACACTTCTGCTGCTAGCCTATTTTTTATGGCTTTTCATTTCATGATTTCCTATTTTATTCATAAATTTTATGTTCCCATTTGCATTTTACACAGGACTGCAAAACCATGTCAAAAGACATACTAATTTAATTTGCTCACAAAATTGCATACATTGTTAGTATGTTTAATAAAATATTTGTAGTAAAACTGACATATGATCATTTGTGAGTATACCCAAGATAGTTTAACATAGTCCCAGTAAGCTGTAAGAATGTATAGCAAGGTAGTTTAGACAGCCTGGTTTCATAATGAAGGAAAGCAAAGGTAAAGAATATTCTGAAGGTTTTAAGGGTATCAAATCCATATGTTAAAATAAGCAAAATAACAACATACATAATTTCAACTATTTTAAAAAAAGAACTTACTTTCAAAAAATGATTTTTAAGAAAATAAAAATGATCTTTTCCACAGAGTCTGTTTTTAATGATTAATCTTTCAGATAGCCACCATAAAGATTAAATATGAGCATAAGAACATATTGCAGCCTGTAGCAGCAGGCCACTTGTTGGTTTTCAGCTGCTTAACCCCGAAATAATCACACAGAAACTGTATTATTTAAATCACTGCTTGGTCTATTAGCTCTAGCTTCTTATTAGCTAATTCTTACATATTAATTTAACCCATTAATCTGTGAATCACCTCTTGACAGTAGTTTACCAACAAAGTTTCAGTATGTCTGACTCTGGCAGCTGCTCCATGTCATCTCTCTGACTCCACCCTTCTTTTTCCCAGCATTCAGACCAGTCCTCCCCATCTAGCTCTGCTCCGCCCTGCTCTGCTATAGGCTCAAAGCATTTCTTTATTTATTAATGGTAATCACCGCACACAGATGGAAATTCCACATCACTTCCCCTTTTTTGTTTAAATAAAAAGAAGGTTTTAACTTTAACATAGTAATATTACATATAACAAAACATATATCAAGCAAAAATTAGAGTTACAATATTTATATCTACTTTATCTCTTATAACTAAGGAAAACTATATTATTACTATTTACCCTTTAACTCCATCAAAGTCTCCAGAAGGATATAATATTACCTAAGCAAACAGTAGGTGCATTATAAGCAACTTGCAAAACTCTATAATTACCAGAGACATCTCCCTGCCTGGACAGTCACCCAAAGTTCTTCTATACCATTAGAGCATTTACTCTTTAGCCCACAGGTCTATAGTATCCAGCAGACTTTTTCATGACAGGAAATTTTAAAGACAGTGTCGCCTATATTGGCAGTTTGTCAGTCACATTTTTCTGTGTCCTGAAGAATGTCTGGCAGACACTTTCATGTAGCAGGAACCCTGAAAGACCATCTTACATTTAGGCAAGTTTAGCAGTCATTTTTCTGTGGGTCCTGCTTGTCCAGTTTATCAAACAGCCCAGGCAAGTGTAGTTTCTTGCCCAGATGGCTAATCAACTACATAAGGAGCCTCTTCAATGCCTTTTTTTTTTCTTAAAGTAGCTTGTGCTGCCAGGAGCAGATGTGTCACATTGTCATGAAAAGTCCTAAGTTATTAAAAAAGACATTTTATATGTCATACTCTGAAGGTCTCTGAAAGATTTGAAGAACACCTATCTAATTGAAACATATCTCTATACATCTAGAAAATCTAACTTGAGTACAAGCTTGATTATTATAGATGAGTATCTATTAACTTATATTTCTTAATTATATATTACATTTTTAAATGAGCCACATAAGCATAATATCTTAATCAATATCAGAAATACATATACATATAACAAAATTGACCTTAAATTTGTATCAATAAACCAAGATCCATACCATTGCAAATCATTCATGTCTCTATCAGCAGCTTTGGCTGTGTGTATGTATCTCTGCATATATATGCATGTTTCTCTGTGTATACTCTACGCTATATATCAGGCAAAAGTAACATGCACCAGAACAAACAATTCCAAAATGTTATATTAAAATCATGTTTACAGCAGTGGGGATTTCTGAAATAGGTTAAGCACAGATTTAATTCTAAAAAGCTAAAATTTTTATGTAGCTTATCATTTAATGAGCTATTTCCTCGTGCATATGAGCATCTGTAGAATAAAAATTATGAAAACATGTCACTTTAATGGTGATGCTAAGTACTCCTGTGTATGATTTTCAAAGAAACTGCCATCATGATTCTCACCACTCATCTGTATGTAGTATAACTTTGAAAGGTTGACGACTGAGAAACTTAGAAACAGTTTATATACTGTTATTCAAAATCACTGATAAGTGTCAAGCCTAAATTATTTTCCTTTGGTCCCGTGGTCATAAGGGAGGGAGATTTGCCTCTGCATGCCACCAGATGCAACACTCGGGAGAGAAAGCCCTGCACCTCACATGGGCAGTACAATAGAGCTATCCCCACTGATGGAGGTGTGGGTGAGGCAGCGCTGAACTTGTGAGCACGGGAGAGCCGTTCCCATTATTAATGTGTCGTGTAGTAGCAGAGATGGTGGGGAGTTTTTCTCCTACCCTCTTCTTCCCCAGTCCCTGCTCATCAATTCCTCAGGCAGGTAGGAGAGCTGACACTGAGTTCTTAAGTGCACTGTGGTCCTAAGTGCAGGAGAGCTATCCCAGCCCCTCATCAGTTGCAGCATTCGGAAGAGTAGTCCCTACACCACAGCTGGGCAACACAACAGCGCTGGTCCTGAAGGTGTGGGTGTTAGAAATCCAACCCTGAGGACAGGAAAGCAGGAGAACTGGCCCCGCCCCTTGTTCATGGCTGCTGGGGGTGATCTCACCAGGGCAATATAGGAGAGCTCACCCTGATGGTGAGGACAAGGGAGAATTGGCAACATCTATTCCATCTGTGATCTTCTGGAGCACGTGAAGGGACTGGTTCTTCAGATTCAAAGCTGCAGAATCTCAACAGCAGGTTAAACAAGAGGAATGCCAGTGAGGTCCCAACACCAATAGTGTAGTAGAACCCAGAGACCTCAATACAGATCATTGATTCTTTACAATGAACATCTGAAAGCAGAGCTATATGGATTAAAAAATCATTTTCCTCCACCTTACAGAAGTGAGGGCCCTTCACGAGAATGATTTGGTGAGCTTGACATGTGTCCGCTAAGGTCTGTATGACACAGGGTGATGTTTTTTATTTCCTGAAAATTATAAAAGTGAAAGGCTATGGCAAACCAGCTGATCTGTTGAGAGTATGTTGAGAAGTGGCGTTGCATTTAAACTTTAATGAATTGGATAAAAGATTGTTCTATGGTTCTTCACTATATGTTTCAGGAAATGTTATTTATCAAGTAGAATTATTTTATACTTTTTTTTACCTCTTACCTTCTTTGTCATTATCACAATAGTTCCACCCAATAGCACCTAGGAGAAAAAAAGAAATTGAAACCAGCACCAGCATCCCCTTCCTTCCTCCTCAAGAGATTTACCAGGTTGTGGTTACCTGTAGTTAAGGAAGCACATGATAATTTGAATGAAGTTTGAGGCCTTAATTTTACACTGAACTGAACTTTTCATTAACTAAAAGTCACTGGGGATTTGTTTTTTACTTGAGAATTGGCTAAGAGAGCTGTGGAACATGCTGAGTATTTTCTTTAAGCAGCAGAAGGTGTAAACTGAAATAGTCAGATGTCCCCAGTGCCCTTCTGTGTCCAGTTCACTTAATAAACAAGTTACATAAGTCATAAGACATACTTTAAATTGTAAGTAATCCTTGGAAAAGATGCACAAAAATATAAGAGCAATCAGTTTGATCTAAATTTCCATGGACTAAAGGGATAAGCAGTGTGACTGTACTTGTAGTGTGCAATTGACCCAGATGCTGATTGCCTAATATCGTTCCCATTTCCACCTTATCTGTTTCCAAATTCAGTTTCCTTGGGAACCTGTTTGATGGGCTTCTAATAGGAACCTCCTTTAGAGTACTTAACTGAGTGACCATCTGGCCTGGACTGATCACACATATCATTTGCTAACTCAGTATAGTTGGTTCAGAAATAGCACATGTCCCAATCTGGGCTTATTACAGTCCTGTCAGAAACTTTGGCTGAAGATGGGTTTAAACAGGTACTTTAGCATCTTAACTGCCAAAAGAAACAGGAAATCTATCTAAGATGAATGAATAGAAAATGAAGCAGACCTAAGAGACAGCAATATAACATTGATAAGATCATTACTGTATTAGTTAGGTTTTTAGTGTTGTGGTAAAGCACCATGGTCAAACAGATCTGGAGAGGAAGATGTTTACTTCACCTTACAGCCCACAGTCTTTTGAAAAGGTTGTTAGCACAGGAATTTAAGGCAGGGATCTGGAGGCAGGATAACTGAAACAGCAGCCATGGAGAAACAATGCTTACTGACTTGCTCATCACAGCTTGCTCAGTCCACTTTCTTACAGGACCCAGGAACACCTGCCCATGGGTGGCACTGCTCCTCCCAGTGGTGACAGTGAAACCTCCCACATGAATTTGTAATCAAGAAAATTTTTTCATCTGTACAATTTTAACTGTTTTCTTATTGTTAGGCATTGGCATTCTCTTTCATAACTTGTAAATCTGTATTGAATATTTTGTAGAATTTCTTTTTAATTTTTTTTTGTTTGTTTGTTTTTTTGAGACAGGGGTTCTCTGTGGCTTTGGTTCCTGTCCTGGAGCTAGCTCTTGTAGACCAGGCTGGTCTCGAACTCACAGAGATCCACCTGCCTCTGCCTCCCAAGTGCTGGGATTAAAGGCCTGCACCACCACCGCCCGGCTCTTTTTAATTTTTATAGCTGTTTATTTATATGTAAATTCAGTATTTGAAGTTTATAGGTCACAGACTTCCAAGTGCTTCCAAGTGTGATTGCACCTAGAAACAACTTTCTGTGACTTTGGGCATCATGGAAGTGAGTTAAGACTCTAGACACTCAAGAACATTCAGGTAGCACCATACAGCTGAAATGTTTCTGGGTCGCAGACTACACAAAGCATTGAATTGCTCTTATTTTTCTTATATATAATACAGAATTCCCCTTCCCGGCTGATTTTATTAATTTTAACACATATTAACAAGTTGGAAATGTCCTGTATTGAATGACTTTTCATTTTATCAGCTCACGTTCCAATTGCATACAGTGTCTTTTTGTTTTGTTTCTGAGCAAGGATCTGTCCTATAACCTAAACTGGACTGGAACCCTGTGGTTCTACCTCTGTCTCCAACACCTGCATAAGAGGTATGTACCTTCGCACCTGCTTTGCTGCCTTCTACTAAATGTGTCCTAATGTCAAAATAAAGACTTCTCCCCCCACCCTCTCTCCATCACACTACCTCAACAAATATGAGCGTGGTACTCAGAACTTTCTGCAAAATGGGAAAAATGTAGACAAAAGAAAGGAAAAGTGAGGAATTTGGTGAATTTTACTGTATCAAGTATTGCTGTTTAAAGCATACAGCTAAGAAAATGAAGTGGAGCTATTAAGACAGCTCAGTGGGAAAAGGCATATGCCATCAGCCTGACAAACTGCGTTTTACTCCCAGAACACACATGGTGGAAAAAGAGATCCTACTCCTGAAAGTTGTCCTCTGACTGTTTTAAGAACACTGTGGTATTCACATGCCTGAGCACCGACATACATACATAAATAAAATAATTTTTGGATTCCGAGGTAGGTTGACTCCCAGTTTCCTGAGAAACCACCACACTGATTTCCAAAGTGGTTGCACAAGTTTGTATTCCCATCAACAATGGATGAGTGTTCCCCTGACTCCACAACCTCTCCAGCATAAGCTATCATTGGTGTTTTTAATTTTAGCCATTCTGACAGGTGTAAGATAGTATCTAAAAGTTGTATTGATTAGCATTTCCCTGATAGCTAAAGAGGTTGAGCATGACCTTAAGTGTCTTTTGGCCATTTGAACTTCTGTTGAGAATTCTCTGTTCAGTTCAATACCTTCATCCGGCGATGGATGGAGATAGAGACAGAGACTTACATTGGAGCACTGGACTAAGTTCCCAAGGTCCAATTGAGGAGCAGAAGTCAGGACCACGAGGGGTGCGTCCACCCACGGAGACAGGTGTGACTGATCTAATGGGAGCTCACCAAGGCCAGCTGGACTGGGACGGACCGAGCATGTGATCAAACTGGAATCTCTGAATGTGGCTGACAATGAGTGCTGACTGAGAAGCCAAGGACAATGGCACTGGGTTTTGATTCTACTGCATGGACTGGCTTTTTTGGAGCCTAGTCTGTTTGGATGCTCACCTTTCTAGACCTGGATGGAGGGGGGGAGGACCTTGGACTTCACACAAGGCAGGGAACCCTGACTTCTCTTAGGACTGGAGAATAAGGGGGAGTGGGAGTGGGGGGAGTGGAAGGGAAATGAGAGGAGGTGGAATTTTATAATAAATAAATAAATAAAATAACTTTTAAGTAGTTAGTAATTTAATGACATGGACAAATGTTACTGTCAGACAAAATCAGAGAAGTCTCTGTACTGAACGACAGCTTCTTAGTGTGTAGAGAATGAATAAGTGATAGTGGAATGCTCAGCCTGAAATCAGATATTTATGCCCTTCCCTCATCTTACTTACTTTTCTATTGCTATGATAAGGTAACTTATTGAGGAAATAGTTTATTTGGGGCTTCTTGTTTCAGAGTGTTGGAGTACATGATCATCATGGTGGGGAGCTGGAGAACAGGCAGGCAGGCATGGTGCTGGAGCAGCTGCTAGCTTAGATCTTGATCTACAAGCAGAAAACTCAGAGACACACAAACACAGAGAGAGACAGAGATAGAGAAACTGACCCAAAAACGTCAAAGTTCACCCTCACTGACATACTTCCTTCAACAAAGTCATATTTTCTAGTTTTTCCAAATAATTCTACTAGCTGGGTATTAACTACTCAAACATAGGAACCTATGGGGGCCATTCTTATTCAGACCACCACACCCTCTAAGTTCCAAGGAACATTATAGAGAAAAGGATAAGAAAAATGTAGGAACACTGAGAGAGGGAGAAGGGTGGCAGAATGTCATGTTCTGCCTATTAAATAGTGTTTGTAAGCATAAAGATCACAGCAGCTGTGGTTACCTGCACTGGGTGGGCACAAGACTGAGACTTATCAACTATTAGACAAGGGGTCACAAAGCAACAACAAAAAAAAGACATGGATATGGAAAAGTGATTTGTATAGGAGAGGGGGAAGGGTGGACAGCGATGAGAGGTAGATAAAGTAGGATTGGGTATTAAAAATAAAATAATCAGAGTGAATTACATTTATACACACATGTGCATATATATATGAAATTGTCAAAGGAAAATTTGATTAATAAGAATAAAATGAACAATAGAAAAAAGAAGAAAGTGTAACATATTGAATTTGCTGGAAAGTTGTCTAGGCAATTGAGCATGTAATTGGGTATATAGGAAATCAATTGTGTGTGTTGAAATCAAGGGTTTTATTTAGGTTACTTTAATATTTACAAAATTATGTGATGTGAATACATACAATATAATCAAAGGAAGAAAATCAAACCAAGTAGTAAAATATTATGGACTCCAATGTGTAGATATTTTCTAGAAGAGGTGGGAAAAGCAAAAGATGAGGTAGATGTGGAAAACCACCCAAAACTCACCATAGCCAGACCCTGTGTTTGAGTGTTTGTACCTCGCCTTCAAAATTCAGGCTGAAGCATACTCCTCACCATAAGGGCATTGAGAGGTGGGATGCTGAGAATGTGATTCAGTCCAGAGGACTTTGATCACATGAATGTTATGAATTAGTGCCCTGTAAAAGAAGTTCCTATGAGATCAGAGTTCCTTTTTGTTATTCCACCATTCTGCTATGTGAACACATGCCATTAGTTCCTCCAGTATGGAGGGCATACAACAAAGAAAAATCTTGGAAACCAATAATGAGCCCTTAAATCTCATTATGCCTATTGTGAAAATAAATTTCAGTTAGTATGGTCTTAACTTTTCATCTATCTGTCTATCTATCTATCTATCTATCTATCTATCATCTATCTCTCTATCCGGGGAATATCCATGTCACAGTGTTTGTGTGGAGGTTGAAGACAACTTGAAGGAGTTAGCTCTGTCTTTCCAACATGTGGATCTTGAAAATGCAACTCAGGTCTTCAGGTATAGGAATAAACTTCTTTACCCAATAATCTACCTTACTAGTCCCAGTTAATATTATTATAATGTACTCATTGTATGGAATTTTGTTGTGTCAGCATAGACAGTTTATGATACCATCCCAATGGTATGGAGTTGTATAGAAAGACAGGCTGATGGCTGTGATTTTTCACTAGGAGAGTATGGTTGGCAGGGTAAATGACTGTAGTGTGAGTCTCCATTCCCTAGTAGTCACAGACCTGTGT